TTGCATTAATCGACTTAGTGAATGCAGTTGTTCTGAAACAACTCTTTCAACTGGAAATTCCAGTAGAGATAACTTTCAACCAGTAATACAAAGCTAAAAATAGTATTTATATTTTAAATTGCGTCGCCAAATATTCAACCCAAACCCGACCCGACCCTAGGGTCGAGTCGGGTTGCTATGTCCATGGTCTTAGAAAAAGTGACTTCGCTGAAGATACGTGGAAAACGTTATTTTCATGTGAATAAATGCGGACAATATAAAACTTCATCAAAAATCTGGCTGTATATTTTTCAGTTCTGTTACTCCCTATGAATACCCGTCGCCTCTCTTCTTTTGTCAAGTGCACCTTCTTTCGAAATATACAGAATGTAAGAGTAACATGCGGATGCGGAGAGATTTTTATCTACTAAAGAGCTGTGTATGCCTGCTTTTCTTCCTCATTTTAGTCATTCCTTATCTATGACTGTAAGTCATAAAAACCCCTTCGTCCAAACTAAGAAGAAATATAGTTATTCTATTATATCTGCCTTCTTATAGTGATAAATGTAGCGAAAAAATCACATCTTTTTGTGTTAAAAGCGCATTCGTGTCACTACGTTCTTGAAGAGTGATAAAAAATGGGTTGTAAAAGCTGCAAAAACCAAGTTACTCCTTATCACGTTGTTCTCGTTCGTACAAAAACTGACCCTACGATCTCAAACGACAATACAGAGCCACATTGTACAGATTTCCAAGCTGAAAATCTTGAAAATGTCACGCTTATTTGGCTGGATGAATCAATTGATGAAACAAAGGAAGACTACGAGAAGACACTTCTGCTACTTAGAGAGATTAACGATTTCATTCTTACCTATGCCGACTCAAAATTATGCATTGATTACATCAAATCGATACATAAAGAAACGGTTTTTCTCATAATTTCGGGCTCACTTTCGAAAGAAGTCTTATCACAAACTAAGTCATTGCATCAATTAGACTCCGTCTATATCTTCTGCGCAAACAGATCAGCTTATGTCCATCTCAGGCAAGACTATCCCAAAGTCATCGATGTCTTCACACAACAAAAAGCACTTACGCAATCAATACGCCAGCAACTTTATCTTTTCTCAAAACACTCAATGACATTCTCCTTCTTCAATCAAAAACTTAAATCGTCGCGTTATCTTATAAAAGAATCAGCTTCATTTCTCTGGTTTCAACTTCTTCTCAATGTTTTGAAAGAATTTCCACAGGCAACAGATGCTCAGCTTAACATGTTGACGAAATGTGAAGAATATTATAGAGGAAATCAAAAAGAGTTAAAAAATATTGCACGTTTTCAAAAAGAATACCAACCGAAAGCAGCCATCATTTGGTACACCGATGACTCCTTCGTGTATCGTTTGTTAAACAAAGCTTTACGAACAGAAGATATCGATGGTCTATATTTATTTCGGTTTTACATCATTGACCTCTGTAAACAGTTGGAAGAAGAGAGTCGGAAGAACGTTGGAACGATGACACTTTATCGTGGTCAAATGACGGCAAAAGAAGATGTTGAGAAGCTGAAGAATAGTATTGGTACATTAATATCTCCGAACGGTTTTCTATCAACAAGTTTAGACAAGCAAGTGGCATTGTTCTACTTAGACCAATCAAGAGATAAAGAAGCTCCAATTCAATCAGTTTTGTTTGAAATCACCGCAAATTCAACTCTGTTATCAGGTACTTTTGCCGATATTCACCTCTTTAGTCGAATGCCACATGAGCGTGAGGTTCTATTTAGTATCGATGCAGTTTTTAAAATTGACAATATCGAATTTTCGGACGCAATTAACTGTTGGACAGTCCGAATGGTTCTGACAGACGAAGGAATGAAAAATGTGCGAGAGTACATTGACGTCACAAAGAAACAATATGAAAATGCGGACACTACAATTATATTCGGTAGTCTTCTTACTGAAATGAATCAACTTGAGAAAGCCGAAAAATATTTTAATTTCTTATTGGTAACGGCTGACAGAGAATCATTGAAAGAAGCTGATATTTTAAGTGCAATGGGTCGTCTCAATATCTACAAATCCGAACATTTATCTGCACTAGACAACTTCAGTCGTGCATATAATATTCGAAAGAACTGTCTCAGCTCCAATCATCCAAAAATAGCACTTTCGCTAAACAGCATTGCTTCTGTCTATTATATAACTGGTAATTATGAGAAGGCCCTTTCTCTTCAACAGAGAGCTTTAGAAATAGACCGCGAAAATTGTGGAAACGATCATACCAGTGTTGCTTCAGGTTTAGATAGTTTAGGAATGATATACAGAGATAAGAAAGAGTACGATAATGCATTGAATTATTTCGTTCAAGCATTAGAAATCCAACAACGCTTGCTGCCAAAAGAGCATGATGATATTGCTGGCACTCTTTGGGATATTGGTCTAACGTATAATGAACAAAAAGATTACGCTAAAGCTCTACAGTATTACTTTGATGCACTTGAAATATTTGAGAAAATATTACCACCTGGACATTTAAGGATATCAGGTCTCTTTAATGCAATTGTTGAAGTATATAAAAGAAAAAATGATAATGACGCAGCATTTGATTTTTGTCAGATGAAGTTAATCAAATTATGTGAAGAATTAGGTGAAACACACCCCGCAATTGGAAGATTGCTTTGCCAGATTGGTGATATTTTTTTTCTAGTACAGAATAAAACTGATGAAGCTCTGTCACACTATGAGAAAGCTTTATCAATATTCGAAAAGTGTAATGCACCTGAACAAGAACAGATTTATTTTTGTCTAAAGCGTATTGCTCACATTCAAGAACTTGTGAAGGAGAACTTTCCAATGGCACTAGATTATCATATGAAGACTCTCGAGCTTCAAAAAAGAATGTATCTGCCTGATCATCCAGAAGTCGGCCTTGTTCTTGGCAATGTTGGCCGAATTCATCTTAAACTCAAACATTATGAAGATGGATTGAAATATTTAGAAGAGGCCCATGATAAGCTCGAAAAAATATTACCGGTTGGAGACAGCGATTTGTGGAAATTGTTTATTGTAATTCTTGAGGTATACAAAGAAAAAGAAGATTATCAACTAGCAATTAGTTTGTGTGAGAAAAGATTGGGTGAATTACGGGAGAAACATTGTGATAACTATCTTGAAGTTGGAAGACTGCTGTTTCATATAGGAGACATTTATCAAAAATGTAGAAATAATGATCAAGCTCTTTCATATTATGAAAAAGCTTTATTAGTCCTTGAAAAATGTATTCCGTCAGACGATGAAGCGCGTTGGTGCTGTCTAAATGGTGCAGCCGTTATTCAACAAGAAAAACGAAATTTTCAGTTGGCACTAGATTATTATGAGAGAACGTTAGATATTGGAAGAAAGATCTATCTATCTTACGATCCAAAGACAGGAATGTCTTTGGCTAACGTTGGTCTGATGCATCTTCAACTCAAAAGTTATGAAAATTCTTTAAAATACTTTGAAGAAGCTCTAGATATCTTCGAAAGAACGTTACCAGCTGGACATCAGGAAATCTCAAAACTATTCGTTTATATGGTTAATGCATACAAAGGCAAAGACGATTACCCTGCAGCATTAAAATTCTGTCAGAAGAAGTTAATTGCATTTAGTGAAACACTGGGTGACACTCATTTAGCTGTTGTAAACATTCTATTTCAAATTGCTGACATCTTCCAAGAACGTAATATAAATGAGGAAGCTCTCCTATTTTACGAGAAAGCTCTATCAATACTGGAAAAATGTAATCCAACTGAACTGCACCTGATTTGGTTTTGTCTTAATCGAATTGCTTCCCTTCAAGCAAAATATGGAAACTTTCAATTGGCACTCATGTATCATATGAAAACGTTAGAAATTGGACGCAAAATATATTCATCTGACCACCACGACATTGCAGTCAGCCTTCGTAATATTGGTGCGATGCATTTCAAACTTGAAAACTATGAAGATGCGCTAAAATATTTGGAAGATGCATTACAAATCTTTCAGTCAAAATATTCTAGCGACAATTATTATCTTAGATCAATTTTGAAAGGTATTGAACAAGTTAAACAGACTCAAAAATCGAACTGAGAAGAAAATAGTTTTAAGGTATTCACTGTTCGAGTAAATCAAGGGCTATTTTTCTATACTAAATACAAGTTGGATCCTCGTTTGCATATGGAGAAAAAAGTACTTAAAACATCTATGATACCGTCTTTTAGGTCAATTTGTCTCTTGTAAAAATAATTTCTTCCTATTGAAATGATGTATAAGGATTGTTCATAGAGTACTTTATTCAGTTTTTCACTGGCTATTTTTTGTATATCAGAGTTTGTGTGAAACCTATGCTGGATTTTTCAAAAATATTATTTTTTCTAAAAACGACGTGCTCTAATGAAATCTCAAAATAATCAACGTTAAAAACGTATTTTGAGCTTATTTTCCATAAGAACAACTGGGCAATGTGTGCAAATGTCTTTTCGACAAAAGTCCAGTCAAAATAGGGCAAAAAAAATGAGGGACCATTTTCTGATGTGGGTATACGGTCACATCCCAAACAGTGGCGGATCCAGAATTATTTTTTGGTACGTGCGGTATACGATAAAAGTGTGAGATACGTGCGGTCGTCATAGAAACAAATTATTGTAAGAGAGATCTGCTGAGAAAAAACAGTTTTTTGGTTAAAAGGTACGAGCGGCCGGTCGTACCACTCGCGGGCTGGATCCGCCACTGATCCCAAAGGAAAAAAAAAGATAAGAGAGAAAAAGAAAGATAGAGAGAGAAATACTGAACATGAGAACGTCGAAAAAGAAAAGGAGAGAAGAGAGAGGAAGGAAAAGAGAGAAAGAGATGAAATTATGTAAGTAATGATCATTGGCTGAGTGGTCCTCGTGGTGATTGACAATTGGTTCTTTACATGGACTTTATTTTTATTTAATCTATTTATTTGATAACTTATAGCGCGATGATGATGAGAAAATTAAACTTTTCATAACTTTTATGAGTTTATTGAAAATTTGTTTTGAAATGCGTGAAACTTTCAAGGTTTTCCGTTCTTGTCATTGGGAAAAATTCTGTTATGTTGCTACTTACCATTCAGGGTTAGGATATTCTGCCGCAATTGAAATGGTTAAGTTATTTTAACGTAATTCAAATAGTTGCGTCAGTCAGACATGGTTCATCGAAAGGTACACCTGAAATTTCGCTTTCTTAAAATCACTAAATGGTTGCAATCAATCGCGATTCTGACTGAGAGAGTACTGTGAGATGGAAAAAAAACAGCACAGCCTTTTGAATCTAGGCTAAGTAGTCTCTTTTTCCTTTTTCTCGTTAGCTTTCTCTTCTCAAACCTGTATCAAAACAGCATAGCGGCAGTCATTCTATTCCTTTTGTCCGCCGAAGTTCTCTCGATTCAACTTTCAATTTATATTAAAAAAGTAAACTATTTACACCGTCTATGCTCAAACTATTCATTAGAGTGCTATTTCAAGTATGAAAAGACAATTTTCGTTTTCTCCACGTTTTACTTATCTTAGAGATACTTTCATGGACTATGGTACGTGGACTAAGTTGACCTTCGACGTATACTCGGCAACTAGCCGAGTATACGTCGAAGGTCAACTTTCAGAGCAATTCAAGATTACAACAGGAGTACTGCAACGTGATGTCTTAGCACCGTTCTTGTTCATAATCGTGATAAACTACGTCTCCAAACTCTCTGCACGCGATTTTGGATACATCACACACAACGGCGCCAAACAGAAGACACCTGGCTAACGCACCCTGCGTAGCACAACATCTCAACCTGAACACAAAATCAGCGATCTTGCCTTCGCGGATGACATTGCTCTACTCAAAAACGACGCAACCAGAGCCCAAAAACAAGTGGATGCGTTAAGAATTAACGCTGGAAAAGTTGGCTTAGAAATTAACGTTGACGAGACCGAACAAATGCGCCTCAACCTAACCAACAATACAGCCACACCATCCGCAAATCTCACCATCAATGGCCAACACATTGCCATCGTTGTGGAATTCAAATACCTAGGTTCTTTCATGGAATTCACTGAAAAAGACGTCGAGAAAAGAAAGCGAGAATTGCACTTGCATGGGTCGCATTTAGGAAGCTCCAGTCAATACTGAGATCACCCAAACCAACAGTGAAATTCAGGATCCGACTTTTCAATGCTGCATGTGTGTCCATCCCACTATACGGCTGCGAAACTTGGGTTCTACCCTCAGATTTGACAAAAAAGACGGACGTATTCGCAAGAACCTGCTATCGAATCATGCTAGGTATCAAACAATCAGAAGCCCACATGACCAATAGGACTCTTTACCAGAAGGTGAACGAACAGTCGATCTCAACAACCATTCGAACGCGTCAACTAAAATTCATCGGACACTGCCTTCGTATGAACACCGACGAACCGGCAAACATCCACATCCTTTATGAGTCGAACAAGACAACCATAAAGACGTCAAGACAAAAACGCACGACATACACACATCAAATATCACATCATCTGTTGCCAGACAAAAAGGTCGAACTTACTGCCAACGAAATAGCCATCTATGCGAAAGATAAAAGGGCTTGGAACAATCTTATTGCCGCGCCTCAAAAGCACGACCGATGATGATGATGAGTCCACGAAAGTATCTCTAAGCTAAGTGAAACATAGAGAAAAACGAAAATTATTTTCTAATTCTGATCTTCTTTATCTTAAATAAAAGGTTTAAATAAACAAGTTTTCAGCACTGTGTTAAAATTCACGACGAGGACACGCAAATTTTTGACTTTTTACAAGTTTATTCCAAGCATTTATTTTATTTGGATATGATACTGTTTGCAATAATGAGTATCCTTTACAGACCCATTTTATTGACCATATCATTTCTAACAGAAGAAAAACGAAGAATAAAATGAATAACAAAATGTTTATGTACTTCGACAAAAAAAAATACATCTTTTGTAACCTCGAAAGCAGCAAATCCGACCGAGAATCAGATGCATTATGCACCGATAAAGTTATAATGGACGTTTCGCATCCTAGATTCAATCAGGAAAGAATTTGTAAAAAAAAGTAGTAGTAATATGGTACGTAACTATGGTTTATATATCCATTTTATTCAGTTTTTCATTGGCTGTTTTTCCTCGATATAAAATATTGTAGAGTAAATCAAGGGCTATTTTTCTATACTAAATACAAGTTGGATCCTCGTTTGCATATGGAGAAAAAAGTACTTAAAACATCTATGATACCGTCTTTTAGGTCAATTTGTCTCTTGTAAAAATAATTTCTTCCTATTGAAATGATGTATAAGGATTGTTCATAGAGTACTTTATTCAGTTTTTTTATAATTTATTTATATTTTTTTATGACGATGACGGTGGATGTTTTCTTTTCTAAATTTAATTTAATTTAAATTCAATTTACTTCAATTCAATTTAAGTTTGGTTAATTTAACTTAAATCTGTTTGTGTTTTTTTATTTATTTTGTTGAGCTTGATTATGAAATTCAATGTTATCGCCAAATAGGGATGTCAAACGGAAAAGAATATTGTCAAACAGTTCGTTCAAAAATAATAGAATTATATGACAAATGCAAAGTGGGTAATTCTGACCGACAGAAAATGGACATAATTGATTTTGGTATGTTAAGTGAAGTGAGAAATATCTCTCTCCTCTACTCATTTTGTTTCTTTTGTTTTTAAAAGTTTTATCGCCAGAAGTACTCGATATGTATGAGCAAGAATATATTCGTGTACAAGAATTATATCAAAAACGAAAGCCAATTGTTGATATTTATGAAACTTGGAATAAATTTTGGACGAAATATGTCACATTTGATGTAAGAAAATCTGTGTTCTTTGCTCTTAATTATTAATGCATAATGTTTTTTTGTATTCATAGAAATGGTCAAAGAGTTCAGCACGATTTCATGAACGTAGCTATAATCCGAACAACAAAAACGAAAAAACTTTCAAACTGAATTATCAAAAATTGATAAAGTATTTCCCGATATTTTGGGTGACGACAATGATGAATTTCTTCTCAATGATGTACCAATAAGAAAACTTTATAATGATGCACACGACGAAATGTGATTATTATGGTCGTAAACCTTTGACCCCAGCAATCAAGTCCTTCAACCATAGTTAAAACACCGTCAACAATGTCCGTACGAACTCAGAGTAAAACACCAATGCGAAAAAGTATGAAAATAGTCAAAAAAATGAAACAACAACCGAGAGTGGAAACAAAAAATTTACACCACGTGCTTCAGCGGCGCGTTGTGCTCCGCCGATTACCGTCTTTAGCGTCAACGGCGATATCTCCGCCACATCACATGCTCACAACAATTCACTTCATTTCTCGAAATTATCCACCTTGTTAATGGTGAATTAATTAAAGGGAATTAGAGATAATTTTCTAGTGATTCAATTGGATTTTATCTGGTCTTGTTGAGCAAATGACATTAACACCGAATTTCTCTTATACGACCAAGGTATTAGAAAGAAATAAAGCAAATAATCCAATAACTGATCGTAACGCTCATCGTTCAAAACGTTTGATAAGCAAACAGACGATTGAAAGTTCGCGCCTTTGTTTGAATAAGGACAGAAAATCTGACTAAGAACATAGACTAAACGTTTGATCAACCCAGAATTAAATAAATATAAATTAGATCACTTCTAAACAGATTGAGACTCCTCAGATAAGTTGCCTTTATTTATTAATGGTGCACAAAATTCGTCAGAAAATAATTTTCAACTATTTTTATTTCTTAGACTGCTACTCGAAGAAGTCCTAAAATACTGCCAATGTATGATGGACATATTGTATATTTCATGTAATTATTGCATAAAATTCATTTTTCTCATTTTTGAATCTTTTTGTGTTGTTTTTGTTGGCTCGCATGTTCTCTCGTTTTTTTTATTGTAATGCCAATAATTTGTAATGTGCTGTCAAATAGTGTTTTTGTATAAATGATTAACTTGATGCTCCGATAAATAAACGAGACAATAAAATATAGAAATTATAATGATGATTTATAAATTTAGCAAAACGGTGTGAAAAAACTTTATGTTTGCAAGTAGAAGTAATTTAAATCCTATTATAATATTCTAAAACTATGTTAACTGAAAATCAAAGTAGGCGTCTGTTTGTAAGCAGGAAAGTACATAAAGAGTGAAATATTCACACACGTCTGTCAGATTTTTTTGTCACTTTCTTTTTCTCGCGTTCCTTACCAGTAATAGGATACGAATTTCAACAACCCAGAAAATGACCGCATGAATAAAGCATTTTCAAATATTGTTCCTAGGCCAAAACATGTTCATCGAGAAGAGTTATGGTTTTTGAGATTTTGTGGCAAAAATATATTTCTGAGTGAAGGAACTATAATAAATTCAGTCAGAAAAGCTCGATTTTTTTAATTGAAATATATTTTTGCCATAAAATCTCAAAAACCATAACTCTTCTCGATAAACATGTTTTGATCTAAGAACAATATTTGAAAATGCTTTATTCATGCGGTTTCTTCTTCGATAATCACTTTTCGTTAGATTTAAGTTTGAAAATCTGGACGTATCTGTTTGGAAAAGTTCAAAACTTCAGAATGTATGTGATATGACATTCTGGAAAAGCATGAGCCATCTTTCTGGAAAGGAGGGTGGATCGCCTCTTAATAAAGAGAAATGAAAATACAAACACTAAATGAAATGGATAAGTCCGAACTAAATATAATTATTACCGACCCATTATTTTGTTGATTTTTCTAATTTTGCTGAGATTTTTGATACTTCGGTTGCTGCCATAGTAGTTATTATAGCTGAATCAATGAAAGTAAATATTATTCAAGATGAATATCGCGTCTTTTGGCACACCTAGGAATAACAGATTGTCACCCTCGATTCTACGACGACTATGGAGATATGCAACAAGAAGCCGAATACTTGTTTGTTTCTTTATTAATCTATTATTATGTTGATTTTTATTTTTCATTCAAATATTATAGTTAAATTAGATTGTTGCTGTAATCAGGTTTATTGACATTCTTTGACTTTTTTACGTTTCTTATAAAACTAAGTATATTTAATATACTTAGTTTTGTAATCAGGTTACAAATAGGTATTGTGAATTTATTTTATCAGAGATATGGTTTCCTAAACAGAAAAAAATGACGTTTTCTTTGCTCCCGGAAAACAGTTTATGATAGCTCGAAAAAAATTGTGCAAAAATAACCAAGTGCAAAGTTGCCCTCGACGTTGCCAATCAACGTGTACATGTACCTTTTGGACAGAATTCTCATTGGAAATGTTGTTTGTATTCTAGAATTTGCTTTCCGTTTTTGAGAAATAAACTAATTCTGTTTTTAGATAGTCATCGTATAAATTTGACAATATACCTGATCGATTAGAATGGTCTAAATTAGATTGTGTTGATCAAAAGTCAATAGTTCGTGTTGGTCATTCAGCTTGTTTTGTATTAAACGCCATTTTAACGTCGGCGAGTGATGATCACTATGAGGGTGATTGTATTTACATATTAGGCGGAGTAAATCCCTCGCAATATTTCCCTGATATTCATTCACTCACATTATCATCATTAAAATGGACTAAAATAATTGATAATGAAGAAACACTGTGTAAATACGAACGTTCAACCGTTTATAATCAATCAAAAAATTCGATCATTTATTTTGATGGTGCTAATACTGAGAAAAAATATTACAAAATCTTCGCTTGGGGTTTATAGTTCACCTTTATATCCACGTGAAGATCTTCTCTGTCGCTTTTATACAAGACTATATAAATGGAGTCTATTGTCATTTTCTGGGTTGTTGAAATTCGTATCCTATTACTAGTAAGGAACGCGAGAAAAAGAAAGTGACAAAAAAATCTGACAGACGTGTGTGAATATTTCACTCTTTATGTACTTTCCTGCTTACAAACAGACGCCTACTTTGATTTTCAGTTAACATAGTTTTAGAATATTATAATAGGATTTAAATCACTTCTACTTGCAAACATAAAGTTTTTTCACACCGTTTTGCTAAATTTATAAATCATCATTATAATTTCTATATTTTATTGTCTCGTTTATTTATCGGAGCATCAAGTTAATCATTTATACAAGCACATTACAAATTATTGGCATTACAATAAAAAAAACGAGAGAACATGCGAGCCAATAAAAACAACACATTCAACCGTTTATTACCCATTAGAAAATTCGGTGATTTATTTGGGTGGTGCTAATACTGAGAAAAATTTTAATGATGTTAATCAGTTTTACACAGCACAAAAAGCATTCGAGATATTAACTGTTGCAATATCGATGCAATACAAAAAAAACGAATATGATTTCTGTTTGTTTTAGTTCTGATCACCTGGTGTTAATTTGATAATTCATAATGTAAATATATAGACAATACAAAAAACAAATTGTTCAAAAGCAAAAATGTAATAGAAAAAACAAGAACTACTAAAGCATTTTTTCTTCTTCAAGAAGACAACATATATACAAGTTTAAAATAAAAATGTCCTAATAATAATAGTTGTGAGATGTATGAATAATAAGGACAAAAAGAAAAAAAATAGAAATTTATATAGCACCCGCAACAAAGGATAAAAACTGAAAGGCCAGGAAAGAACCTGGTCAAAATATTGTTCGATGATACCATCAAATACGAGACTTCAAAGATTTCGTTTTTTAAAAGAGTAATAATCGATAGAATGTGGTCGAGCGAGGGCCCACGAGTTAGTAAGTAATTTTATTTAGTCCTTGATCTTAAAACTGACTTGGTGATGATGAAAGTTAAAATGCTTTCGAGAAACTCACTTAGCAAAAACACCTTACGTAAGTCAAACTTTTCACTTAAGTAAAACTTAAGTGAAAAAAAGTTTTTTTTGTGATACGGCTTCCTGCTCTGAAAATAATTGGGAGAAAAAGTGGAAGAAAGCATGTTTTCGTTAAATATTGATTCGATTCGCTACCAAATAGGGGCTACCAAAGAAAAGAGATTGTTAAAGGGAAAAGAATTTCTTAAAAAGCAACAGAGACGTACACTTCCTCACCTCCTCAGTGGCCATGGCACTGAGGGGTCGTATCACGAAAAAACTTAAGTCAAAGTCTAGACTAAAAGGCTTCACAATTAACGCAGTTTTTCGATTTCTTACGCTGGCTTAATGGCTTCGTGTCCATCACTGTCATCCGACGTACCTATTGTACTGTTTGTTTGTTTATTTTTATTATGATGATACAAGTTTTTATAGTACACAATTTCGCCATCGATGATTCACAGGTCTCCTTATATGTATTACTATTGCTTACATCTCACTCCAATAAGAGCCGATTGTAAAGTTATCTCATCTACGCATCAAATCAAAATAGTCTTCTCGAAGTGAATCCAAATTTAGATTTATTTCAAAATAAAAAATTATTTATGAATCGCCAGAACACAGTCTATCTTGCTGGTGAATTGGCATCAAGTAGATTATGATTTGTGCAAAAAGCTACATCATTCGTTTTGGTAAAACACTGTAATACTGCAAAGTAAAATGGAACGACATTTCTCTGGCATTCATTTCTAATATAACGAATTTAGTTTTGTTACGAAGTTTCAACTAAGCGGGTTCATTGAAACATTTTAAAATATGGTTCCTCATTCAAAAAAAACTTACTAAAATAATATCATAACTCCTGCTGTTTATATTGCGTAGTCGAGTTGTAGATGAAATGCATTACTTATGCGGTATGGTAGATTAAAAGGACAGGATAGTAATAAAAACGCCATATTGCTGCTACTTTCACGGGTGTCGGTGAACTTCTATTTTGGAAGTTGACAATTAAAGTTAGAACATTCGGATTATTACGCAATGTTTTTCTTTTTCTGCTCAGCATTTAGTTTAAGTGCTTATGTCTTTGCAATTCACTCCTACTAGTTTAAACGAAACGTCCTTCTCTGTTACCCCAAGGTTTTTTTATATTCTAGATTTATTGGTCTATCTTGACTTTCAAAAATGTCTGGGTAATATTCTCCTGTACAGCTTTTATTCGACGACATATCTAGTTTCTCTCGTCTCTTTCTAGTGTGACAAAAATGGACACAACATCGTCATCATCTAGTACAAAAACAACAACAACAATAGCGACAACGTTGAGAACAGATGGAACAACCAAGAAAACAATTCCAAAAGTACCTGAAGTACTTCTCAAACGACGAAAACATTTTGCTGATTTGAAGGCAAAACGTTTACGAACACAAGTTCAAGCGAAAAAGGTAAGAGGAGAATAAAAACACACTTGGTATTTCTTCGTGTTATGGCTCTTAATTTCTATTTTTAGAATCAAAAATATAAACGTCTTTTAATATTCAAACGTGCTGAAAAATATGTTAGCGAATATCGTAAGAAAGAACGTGATTTAATTCGTTTGAAGCGTCTGGCAAAAACGAGAGGAAATTATCATGTAGCTGGTGAACCATCGTTGGCATTTGTTATGCGCATTCGTGGGTATGTGAGAGGCAGGAAGAAGCTAAACGATATGATCATCTTTTCTTATTTTACAGTATTCGAGGTGTACATCCAAGAGTGAAAAAAGTTTTACGATTATTTCGTTTACGACAAATAAACAATGGCGTATTTATGAAATTGAATAAAGCTACTTTACAAATGTTACGTATTGCTGAACCGTATATAGCTTGGGGGTAAGAAACAGCATTCTTCTTGGATATCTTTGTTACGTATAATATGTGTTTTCTTTGAAAGTTATCCAAATTTAAAATCCGTACGAGAACTTATTTATAAACGTGGTTTTGGTAAAGTAAACAAAATGCGTATACCATTATCGAACAATGATGTTATTGAAAAATCACTCGGTATATTTTAATGAATTTAACTGACAGTTGTTCTCTATATAATTTGTTTTTATTTTAGGCAAACATAATATTATTTGTATGGAAGATTTGGTTCATGAAGTTTTTACTGTTGGAGAAAGTTTCAAAAAAGCAACAAATTTCTTATGGCCATTCAAATTAAATAATCCAAAAGGTACGATACATAATCGTGTACTGTGCTGTTTGACAGTGGTGGATTCATCGCGCAAACGCATGTATTTTTTTAGCAAAAGCCCTATTTTTATTCTCAGCAGAAGTGTCTCAGAATAATTTGTTTTCACGATGACTGCGTCTTTTTCACACGTTTATCTTATACTGTACACACCAGCGAAAAATTCTAGATATGTCACTACTCTTTGGCATACGTTGGTTACACTATGACAGCAGATCATAGACCTAAATCTGAACGCAAATCATCCAGCGACTTACGTAGTTCGTAGATAAAGCGTCATTAAGTGATATCAATGACCTATTTGTTTAAACCTAATTAAAATATACATCTGTTACATTTTCATCTTTCACAAAAGCAATCTGTTCTTTAATGTTGGAGTTATTTCGAATCATTCTTGCGTCTTAATCTACTTGAGTTCCATCCAATGATTATAGCTTTCTGTTATGAAGTACTTGTGAATTTGGTTTTTTTATAGGTGGATGGCGTAAAAAAGCCAATCATTTTGCTGACGGTGGTGATTTTGGAAATCGTGAAAATTACATCAATCAATTGTTAAGAAAGATGGTTTAAAAATGATAGTTGTTTTTGTTTTCATTTCACACCTAATACAGATAACAGAAAATAAAAAAACAAATAAGATGTTTGTTATTTGTTTATTAGTAACCAAACATTTTTATTGTTTTGTTCAAAAAAATAAAATAAAAAATCATCGTTGGTTATAATGAACCAGGCAAAATGTTGTTGGTAATTAGAAAGGTTATATTTGTCAAAAAGGAAATTTTAGCCCTGATCAATATTTAACGATAACATTTTTATATGAATGCAACTCAAATATAAGCGAAAGTCTAAAGTTGAAAAAGCTTTTTTTTTACACTTAATGAAAGACTTGGCCATTTGTAGCATAAAAAATATTTATTGATAAGAATACTCACTCATAAGAGTATATATACTATTAAATTATCGGTCTAGAAAAGTCTTTCAAATACAAGATCCAATCGAATAAGATCATTCGTGGCACAGTGACATCTTATGCTGTGGATGAGAACAATATGTTTTCATACTGATACAAAAAAATGATTGAAAATCTATATAATGATTTTGAATCGTTTATGAGTTGTGACAGAAAAATTGATCTCACATACGTTCAACACTCTTTTGAAGGGTGCATATCGTTGTCAAAAGAGTCATAGATTAAGAGATGAATTGTAACAAGCAATAATTGATAAGAGTACTTAATTGCTATCCAATCAGCTGTTGCTGCCCTTTTTTAATACAATTTTACTCGGAAAGAAAGGGGTATTGCTAAAAAACGTGAGCACCCCCAAAATTAAAATCTGAGTTAGCCAATCGATAGAGCTCGTCGAGCTAAGTATAGCAACGCCTAACGAACACGCAAAAAACTTTTTATAGTTTCGCTTTTTAAGCATTCATTTTGAATGAACACCCACGAACACAGAAGAAAAGATAAGAACGCCCAAAAAAGTGTGCTAAATTCATCTCCAGGCTGATCTGAGCCTATCAGTATCTCACTCTCGTCCTCACCCCTACACCTCACTCTCAGCCCAGAACAATCTGAAGATGAATTTAGCACACTTTTTTGGGTGTTCTTATCTTTTCTTCTTTGTGTTCGTGGGTGTTCATTCAAAATGTATGCTTAAAAAGCTAAACTATAAAAAGTTTTTTGGGTGTTGGTTAGGCGTTGCTATACTCAGCTTGACGAGCTCTATCAGTTGGCTAACTCTAACTCAGATTTTAATTTGGGAGTGTGATTAATTTAATTCACGTCGTTTAGCAATACCCGAAAGAAAGGCATCCCTTGCTCAATATCCATTTTGTTCTGTGCTTTTATTGTTTTTTCTTTTTTTAACTATAACGAAAACTTATAAGTCTTAAATGTTCAAAAAAACTGAACGATAAAAATAAGGAAAAGTTTAAAAAGCAGTGGAAATACGCAGTGACACCCGATAAAATTAAAGAACGAAAAACGAATTTTTTCTAATATAAATTCGACAATAAAAAATATTAAATTTAACAAAGAAGCAGTAAATAAGACTCATTTTATGAAGTAATTTAACCAGAAATAAAAAGAAATACTTATTTAGATTATCCATTCAAATTGGGCGATATAAAAATATGCAATTACATGACTAAGAGTTTTAAGTGAATATTTGATACGATATATTTTACCAAAACAGATCATGATCCTAAAATTTCACTACGTCAATTCTTTTCTCTCATATGACAGTCGTTTTACGTAGTAAACGGTGAAGTAACGATGATTTTCTTTCCTCTTTATTTGTTGTGTCTTGTTTAATGATATATACACACTGTGGATTAGGCTTTAAATTGTTTGACTGTTGAATTGTTGTTCCTAATGTTACGTGAGCCGCACATTCTTGCAAACGTCTGAAAGATATTTTTATATAAAACTTGAACTTATTTTCATTCAATAATAGATAAGTGCTGGAATGAATATACTTACTTCGTCAAATCTTCAATATCGACTAAAATTGAATCCTGCGTCATATGTAATTCGTCTCGTTCAATTAGTAATGGGATAAGATTATCATTGTGATCTTAAGAAATGAAGAAATGTTTAAATTTTACATTCAATATAAGCAAAATACATACATATCACCGAAAAAAAAATAAAGTTGGTTTA